GGAACTATGTGAAAAAGACCAAACCTACATTTGATTGGTGTACCTGAAAGTGACAGGGAGAATGGAACCAAGTTGGAGAACATATTTCAAGATAGTATTCAGGACAACTTCCCCAACCTAGCAAGACAGGCTAACATTCAAATTCTGGAAATACAGAGAACACAACTATGATGTTCCTCAAGAAGAGCAACCCCAAGACACATAATCATCAGATTCACCAAAGTTGAAATGAAGGAAAAAATGTTAGGGGCAGCCAGAGAGAAAGATCGGGTTACCCACAAAGGGAAGCCCATCAGACAATGGATCTCTCTGCAGAAACCCTACAAGCCAGAAGAGAGTGGGGGCCAATATTAAAAATTCTTAAAGAAAAGAATTTTCAACCCAGAATTTCATATCCAGCCAAACTAAGCTTCATAAGTGAAGGAGAAATAAAATCCTTTGGAGACAAGCAAATGCTAAGGAATTTTGTCATCATCAGGCCTGACTTGCAAGAGCTCCTGAAGGAAGTACTAAATATGGAAAGGAAAACTCAGCACCAGCCACTGCAAAAACATACCAAAATGTAAAAAACATTGACACTATGAAGAAACCGCATCAACTAATAGGCAAAAAAACGAGCTAGCATCATAATGACAGGATCAAATTCACACTTAAAAAATATTAACCTTAAATGTAGATGGGCTAAAGGCCCCAATTAAAAGAGACAGATTGGCAAATTGGATAAAGAGTTAAGACTCATCAATGTGCTATATTCAGGAGACCCATCTCATGTGCAAAGACACACATATGCTCAAACTAAAGCTTGGGGTGGTGGGGAGGAAGATTTACCAAGCAAATGGAAAGCAAAAAGAGGCAGGAGTTGCAATCCTACTCTCGGATAAAACAGATTTTAAACCAACAAAGATCAAAAAAGACAAAGAAGGGCATTATGTAATGGTAAAGGGATCAATGCAACAAGAAACACTAACTATTCTAAATATATATATACACTCAATACAGGAACACCTGGATTCACAAAGCAAGTTCTTAGAGATCTACAAAAAGACTTAGACTCCCACACAATAATAGTGGAAAACTTTAATATCTCATTTTCAATGTTAGACAGATCAATGAAACAGAAAATTAACAAGGGTATTCAGGACTTCAACAGAGCTCTGGACTAAGCAGACCTAATAGACATCTACAAAACTCTTCACCCCAAATAAAGAGAATATACATTTTTCTCAGCACCATGTAGCACTTATTCTAAAATTGACCACATAATTGGAAATAAAATCATCCTTAGCAAATGTAAAATAATGGAAATCGTAATAAACAGTTTCTCAAATGAAAGTGTAATGAAATTAGAACTCAAGACTAAGAAACTCACTCAAAACCACACAACTACATAGAAACTGAACAACCTGCTCCTGCATGACTATTGGGTAATTATGAAATTAAGGCAGAAATAAGTAAGTTCTTTGAAATCAATGAAAACAAAGACAACATACCAGAATCTCTAGGACACATTTAATTCAGTGTGTAGTGGGAAATTTATAGCACTAAATGTCTATGTAAGAAAGTGGGAAAGATCTGAAATCAACCCCCTAACATCATAATGAAAAGAACTAGAGAAGCAAGAGCAAACAAATTCAAAAGTAAGCAGAAGATAATAACTAAGATCAGAGTCTAACTGAAAGAGATAAAGACATGAAAAACCCTTCAAAAAAATCAATGAACCAGGAGCTGGATTTTTGAAAAGACTAACAAAATAGACCTCTAGCCAGACTAAAAAGAAGAAAAGAGAGAAGAATCAAATAGACACAATAAAAAATGGTAAAGGGGAAATCACTACTGATCCCACAGAAATACAAACTACCATCTTTCACTTATTTACAGGCCAGGCACGGTGGCTCACACTTGTAATTCCAGCACTTCGGGAGGCTGAAGTGGGTGGATCACCAGAGGTCGTGAGTTCAAGACCAGCTTGACTAACATGGCAAAACCCCATCTCTAACAAAAATACAAAATTAGTCAGGCGTGTCTGTATTCCCAGCTACTCAGGAGGCTGAGGCAGGAGAATCTCTTGAAACTGGGAGGCAGAGGTTGCAGTGAGTCAAGATCGCACCATTGCACTCCAGCCTGGGTGATAGAGCGAGACTCTGTCTCAAAAAAAAGTAAAAATAAAAATAAAAAATAAAATAAACACCTCTACACATGTAAACTAGAACATCTAGAAAAATTGGATATATTCCTGGTATTCAAATAGGAAGAGAGGAGGTCAAATTGTCTCTGTTTGCAGATGACATGATTGTATATTTAGAAAACTCCATGTCTCAGCCCAAAAACTCCTTAAGCTGATAAGCAACTTCAGACAAGGCTCAGGATACAAAATCAATGTGTGAAAGTCACAAGTATTCCTATACACCAATAGCAGACAGAGAGCCAAATCATGAGTGAACTCCCATTCACAATTGCTACAAAGAGAATAAAATACCTAAGAATTCAACTTAAAAGGTAGGTGAAGTACTGCTTCAAGGAAAACTATAAACCACTGCTCAAGGAAATGAGAGAGAACACAAACAAATGGTAAAATATTTCATCCTTATGGATAGGAAGAATCAATATTGTGAAAATGGCATACTGCCCAAAGTAAAATATAAATTCATTGTATTCCTATCAAGCTATCATAGAGTTCTTTCACAGAATTAGAAAAAAACTACTTTAAATTTCTTTCTTTCTTTCTTTCTTTCTTTTTTTTTTTTTTTTTTTGCAACGAAGTTTCGCTCTTGTTTCCTAGGCTGGGGTGCAGTGACATGATCTCAGCTTACTACAACCTCTGCCTCCCAGGTTCAAGCAATTCTCTGCCTCAGGCTCCTGAGAAGCTGGGATTATAGGCTCCCACCACCATGCCCAGCTAATTTGCATATTTTTAGTAGAGACGGGGTTTCACCCTGTTGGCCAGGCTGGTCTTGAACTCCTGACCTTGTGATCCACCTGCCTCTGCCTCCCTAAGTGCTGGGATTACAAGCATGAGCCATTGTGCTCACTAGAAAGAAGTACTTTAAATTTCATATGGAACCAAAAAAGAGCCTGTATACCCAAGACAGTCCTAAGCAAAAAGAACAAAGCTAGAGACAGCATATTACCTGACTTCAAACTACACTACAAGGCCACAGTAAGCAAAACAGCATGGTAATGGTACCAAAACAGATATATAGACTAATGGAACAGAACGGAGGCCCCAGAAAAAACACCACACATCTACAACCATCTGATCTTTGATAAACTTGACAAAAACGAGCAATGGGGAAAGAATTCCATGTTTAATAAATAGTGTTGAGAAAACTGGCTTGCCATATGTGGAAAACTGAAACTGGACCCTTTCCTTACACCTTATACAAAAATTAACTTAAGATGGATTAAAGACTTAAAGGTAGGACGTAAAACCTTTTATGGTTTTTATACCCGAGAAGAAAACCCAGGCAAAGCCTTCAGGACATGGGCATGGGGAAAGACTTCATGACTAAAACTCCAAAAGAAACAGCAACAAGAGCCAAAATTGGCAAATGGGATCCAATTAAACCTAAGAGCTCCTGCACAGCAAAAGAAACTATCATCAGAGTGAACAGACAACCATACAGAATGGGAGAACACTTCTGCAATCTATCCATCTGACAAAGGGCTAATATCCAGAATCTAGAAGGAACTTTAACAAATTTACAAAAAAAAAAAATCAAAAAGTAACTGAAGGATATGAACAGACACTTTAAAAGAAGACATTTATGCAGTCATCAAACATATTTTTAAAAAGCTCATCCTCATTGGTCATTAGAGAAATGCAAATCAACACTATAATGAGATACCATCTCACGCCAGTTAGAATAGCAATCATTAAAATGTCAGGAAACAACAGATGCTGGAAAGAATGGTGAGAAATAGGAACACTTTTACACTGTAGGAGTGTAAATTAGTTCAACCATTGTGGAAGAGAGGGTGGTGATTCCTCAAGGATCACTTGACCCAGCAATCCTATTACTGGGTATATACCCAAAGGATTATAAATCATTCTTCTATAAAGACACATGCATACATGTATTTGTTGCAACACTATTTACAATAGCCAAGACTTGGAACCAGCCTAAATGCCCATCAATGAAAGACTGGATAAAGAAAATATGGCACATATACACCATGGAATTCTGTGCAACCATAAAAAAGGTTGAGTTCATGTCCTTTGCAAGGACATGGATGAAGCTGGAAACCATCATTGTCAGGAAACTAACAAAGTAACAGAAAACCAAACACCACATGTTCTCACTCTTAAGTGGGAGTTGAACAATGAGAACACATGGACACAGGGAGGGGAACATCACACACCAGGGCCTTTCAGGAGGTGGGGACAAGGGGGATGGATAGCATTAGAAGAATTACCTAATGTAGATGATGGGTTGATAGGTGCAGCAAACCACCATGACACATGTGTACCTATGTAACAAACCTGCATGTTCTGCACATGTATCTCAGAACTTAAAGTATTAAAAAATTAGCAAGTATTTGGATCCCATAACAGGTACAAACTATAGTAGGTACTGCAGATAAAAAGATGAATATAACACAATATTTGAAATTATTGTTTCTTTGAGGAAGATAATGAGTATAGTCTAATAATTTAATTGACATTTGAAAGCAATGTAGTGGAATAATTTTTTGTGGTAGTTTTTTATAGACATTATATACATTTAAGTCAGAAGAGAGAGTCATTGATTGAGATGCTGCTTACTATAAGCTGATTTACTTGTCATAGTTTTTGTAAAGCTTGAAGTATGTTATGCAAAACAGGAAATATACATTTACACCAATAGTGGTAAAAATACTTATTGCATGTATTTTGTATGTAATTCATGTTATAATACCAGGCTATATTTAAAACAAATAATAGGTAATGGCTCTACTTGGCTATTATAATATAATTTGATGTTTGTTAGCTAATTATTCAAATCATCTGGATTCCTTTGTAGTGCTCTGTGACCTGTGGCTCTGGAGTTCAGCAGAGGGATGTATACTGCAGACTGAAAGGTGTTGGTCAGGTGGTTGAAGAAATGTGTGATCAGTCCACTCGACCTTGTTCTCAGAGGTGATGTTGGGGTCAGGACTGTGTGCAGTACAAGGGGATGGAAAGAGAGAGGCTGAATGTGAGTATCAACAAGTACATTTTCAAAGACACTCTATATAAGAATGTGTTATTCATTTGGTCATTGCATTTCTAGTGTTTGACATCATGTGAGAGAAAAGATTCCCATCAACTAATGGAGTGCATAGATACCCAAATCAGACAAGTGAATGAAAGAGTCTATAATTCTTCAACCAGATCTCCTACATCCAAGAATTGCAGGAACCCTCCTTGCAGTTACATTGTATTAACAGGAGACTCATCACAGGTAAGGCAAAGAGAGGAAGTTGAGAATTTTTGCTCCTGGATAAAACAGGTGAATCTGAAAGTTAACACAGCCTAAATTGGGTATAAAATTTGAATATGAGGGCAGATGGTGGTATGCATATGAATCTAAGGAATGAGACTGCTGACGGTTGGTGCAAATAGAGTAATAGTGACATGTGTGTTAAACTCTAGTGCAAATCTGAAGTGTCAGTAGGTGTCAGCTGTGAAGCCAACAACCAGGAACAGTTTTGCAAACTTGCCCTGTGCAGTTGTCCACTTTTTGGAAACAACTTTATCAAGGTGTAATTGATGAACCATGAACTATATATATTCAAAGTAGATATCTTAATAAGTTTTAACACATGTACATAACCATAAAACCAGTACCATTTTCAAAATAAAGTGCATCTCCATTGACCCCAAAAGTTTCCTTATGCTGCTTTATAATCTCTTCCTCCCTCTCTTTTCCCTCCCCACCCAATAAGTGACCTTACCTGTTTTCTATATTAGCTATCTATCACTATACTAGTTTGTATTTTCTAGAGTTTTATATGAATGAATCATAAAATACGTACTTTTTAATCTACTGTAACATAAATATTTTGAGGTTCAGTCAGGTTGTAGTATGTATCAAAAGTGTTTTTTCTTTTATTGTTGACTAATATTCCACTATATGGATGTCTTTACGTTTGTCATTCATTTCTTTCTGATGTCTGATCCTCATCCAGTCTGGTTTTTTTTTTTTTTTAATCTCAGCCATTTTCATTTTCATCGTTAGAGGTTTAATTTCAGCTTTTTTCTATCTTCCATATCTATACTTAACTTTGAAATATGAAGCATAGTTATTAACTTTTTAACATCCTCTTCTGGCACCTAATTCTAACATCTATGTGCATGTTTATAATTCACAGACTTTTAGTATAATTACCGGTGTGTGCATCACCATGATCAAATCCCAGACCTTTTTATCGATCCCAAAAGAATTCCTTATTCTCACGTTTTTTCCTAGTCTCAGACAATCACGAATCTGCTTTTTGTATCTATGGATTTTCCTGTTCTGCACATTTGGTATAAATGGAGTCATACAATACGTGGTCTTTTGTGTCTGCTTTTTTCACTTAGCATGATATTTTAAAATTTTATACAAGTTTTACCGTACATCAATACTTTTTTTTTAATGATAAATAATGTTCCATTGTAGGAATATACTATATTTTGTCTATTCACTAGTCAGTTGATGGGCATTTGAATTGATTCCATTTTTGACTTTTGAATAATACCGTTAGGAACATTTGCATACAAGTTTTTGTATGGATATGTTTTCAATTTTCTTGGATATAAACCTAGGAATAGAATAGCTGGGTGTTGTAACTCTATTGAACTTTTTGAGGAACTGTTAACTGTTTTTCACAGTGGCTACACTATTTATTTTTCCTATCAGCAATGTATAAAAGTTCCTATTTCTCTCTCCATTATCATCATCAGCATCCGATATAATACAGCTTTTTGTTTAACCATAACCATGCTAGTATGTATGAAATGGTATCTAGTGTATGTTTAGGTTGAGTTTCTCTAACGACTAATGATGTTGAGTATCTTTTTGTGTATTTTTTAGTTATTTTTATATCTTATTAGATAAATGTCTATTTAAATCTTCTGCTATTTTATTATATTTTATTGTTTTGAGATGCAGTCTTGTTCTGTTGCCCAGGCTGGAGAGCAGTGGTATAATTACAGATCACTGAAGTTTTGACCTCCTAGGATCAAGCAATCCTCCCACCTAAGGCCATCTAAGCTTCCTGAGTAGCTGGGACTACAGCAATGTGCCACCGTTTCATTTCTGGCTTTTTTTTTTTTTTTTTTTTTTTTTTTTGTAGAGATGCAGTCACCTTGTGTTGCCCAAGCATTGCCCAGGCTGGTTTCTTACTCCTGGGCTCAAGGGATCATCCCTCCTGGGCCTCCAAAAGTGCTGGGACTATAACATAAGCCACCATGTCTGGCTGCTCATTTTTTAATTGGGTGATTTGTCTTTTCACATACTGACTTGTAAATTATTTAAATATTCTGGCTATCAACTTTTATCAGTTAAATGATTTGGAAATATTTTCTCCCATTCTGTGTGTTATCTTTTCCCTTTCTTAATAGTACAGGTATTGATCAACTTATGACCTATGCAACTTATGACCATTCGACTTTACGACCACAATCGCTAGCCACGACTGCTCCATGTCTGGCAGCACAAACATTGCCCAGCTGGGTGTACGACAGTGCGGACCAGCTTCCGGCAGCACTACCATCTCTGCATGCACCATTTCAACTGTTGTCCCAGACTCGGTACAGCAATTTGTGTTTTGTGTCTTGGATATTTTTCATCAAACCCCTGCCAAGATGTCTATCAAGAGGAAATTGTCTTTGTCTATGCCTCAGCCTGCCAAGAAGGAAAGGAAGGCCATCAATCTCGACACGAAAATGAAGGTAATTAAGCAGTACGAAGGAGGAAAAAAAGTGAATGTGATTGCACATGATACGAAGTTATCACACTCGACTGTGTCGACGATTTTGAAAGATAAAGAAAGAATTTGTGAAGCTTTGAAAGGTTCTGCACCCATGCGATCAACAGTTATAACAAAGCAATGAAGCAGGCCCATCCACGAAATGGAGAAATTGCTATATATTTGTATGGAAGATCATATTAAAAAACAGACACCATTAAGTCTTTTTACTGTGCAGATGAAGGCGAGAAGTCTATTTCAGACTCTGAAGGAGCGTGCTGGAGAAGATTACAGTCAAGAATTTGTAGCAAGCACTGGCTGGTTCCAGAGATTCAAGAAAAGATTCCAAATGCATAGTGTTCGAGTGACTGGAGCAGCAGTGAGTGCGGATGAGGAAGGAGCACGTGAGTTTGTTGATAGTCTGGATGAATTAATTACAGATGAGGGATATCTAGCAGAACAGATTTTCAATGTTGATGAACTTACAAATGAAGAGCTAATCGAACTGGAAGAAGAAAGAGTGGTGGAAGAAGAAAGAAGAGAAGCAGAGAAAGAAGAGGAGGAGCCAGAAAGAAAGTTCACCACTAAGGGATTATCAGACAGTTTATCTTTACTGAATAAACTTCTTATACATTTCGAAGCAATGGACCCAAACATCGAACAATTTACAAGGATTTAATGGATGGTGCCCCATGTGTTTCATCCATACCATGAAATTTATGAAAAAAAAAAAAAAAAAAAGAAACATACAATTCAGACCAAGCTCACCATGTTTATGAAAAAACCAACTCCGGTAACCCCAACTACTGCCTCAGATGATGACATCAACGATCCGCAGCCAAGCACCAGCAGCCAATAAAATGTTTCATACATGTTTAAATATTTTGATATGTTTTGCAATTGGGAAAATGTTTCCTATGGTATTTTTTACACCTGTATTTTGTGTTTTTGTATGCACCTGTATTTTGTAATTTTGTATGTTTTGCAACTATTAAACCAGTTGTACTGTTAATATAGTGTTTTACTTAAACCTGACGAATGTAAAAATAAGAAACAAAATGGTGTAGAGATGATACAAATGGCATAAAATGAACAAAGAAAATTGTGATATATAACAATAATGAAAGAAAATTATGATAAAATATGACAAAGATTTTTATAACATCATTTCACAGTACTGTACATATAGCCTACTCAACTTATGACCAAATCATGTTATGACCCATCTGTCGGAACCAATTGTAGTCGTAAGTCGAGCACTAGCTGTATGCTTTGATGAAGTGATATTTATTGTTTTTTTTTTTTGCTTTAGTTCTTTGTGGTTTAAGTATCATATCTAAGAAACTATTGCCTACTTCATGGTCACAAAGATTTATACTTATGTTTTCTTCTTAGACTTTTATAATTTTAGCTCAGGCAATTAGGAGTTTGATACATTTTGAGTTAATTTTTGTATATGATGTGAGGTTGAGATCTAACTTCATTCTTCTGTAGAATAAGATTATTCTTTCCCCCATTGAGTTATCTTCACATCCTTGTCAAAAATCAATTGACCATAAATGTGTTGGTTTATGTCTGAACTCTCAATTTTATTCCCTTTATCTACATGCCTATCAATATGTTATTACCATGTAGTCTTCATTATTGTAATTGTATAGTAAGTTTTGAAGTCAGGAAATATGAGTGAACCAACTTTTTTCCTTCCTCCTTAAGATTGCTTGGCTATTCTGAGTCTCTTACATTTCCATGTTAATTTTAGGAACAGTTTTTCAAATTCTATATAAGAGCCAGCTGAGATTTTGTTAGAGATTGCAATGACTCTTGATCAGTTTAGTAAATTTTATTATCTTAATAATATTGTCTTCTCATCTATGAATGTGGGATGTATTTCCATTAATTTAGGTTTTATTTAACTTATTTCAAATATGTTTTATAGTGTACAAATCTTGCACTTCTTTTATTTCTGAGTATTTTTATTCTTCTGTAAATGGAGTTCTATTAGTTTCATTTTCTGATTATTCATTGCTAGTCTATAGAAATAGAATTGATTTTTGTGTATTTAAAATTTTGGAGGGGATTTAATTATTTAGTGTGTGAATTACATGGGATTCGCTACTTACAATGTCATCTCATCTGCAATTAGAGATAGTTTTATTCCTTACTTTAAAGTTGGATGCCATTTATTGTTTCTTTTCCTTGCCTAATTTCCCTGTCTAGAAATTCCAGAATAATGTTAAATAGAAGTGGTAAAAACAGACATTCCAGTCTTGCTCTTGCCTTTTGTAAGAAAACAAATATTTTGTACAAATATTTGTCTATAGTTTTTTTTTTTTTTTTTTTTTTTTTTTTTTTTTTTTTTTTTTTTTTTGTGATGTCTGCCTGGGTTTGAGAAATACTGGCTTCATAGGATGAGTTAAGCAGTGCTCCTTTTTCTTCTGTCTTGTGGAAGAGTTTTGGCAGGCTTGGTGCTAATCATTCTTTAAGCATTTGGTCCTGGGCTTTTCTTGTGTGAAATGTTTTGGTTACAAATTTAATCTCTTTACTTGTGATAAGTCTATTTAGATGCTCCCTCCTCCCCAGGGTTTGTAGTTGTTGCTTGTTTGTTGTTTGTTGTTGTTTGTTTCTTTAGTGACTTTTCTGAACTGTAAAGTCTGTATTCTTTGTCATACATGGCCACTGAAGTCTTTGCTCACTTAGTTTAGTTGTCAGCAATGACTAGACAGTAATTTCCTTAATATCTGAAACCAATAATTTTGGTTCCCTAGCCTTTGCCAAGGTACTGTGTGTTGAGGGTTTGGGAGTAGTATGTGATCTTCAATACTCAGCTAAGTAGTTGACAACTCTTCCTTAATCTTAACTTTCTGCTTGTGTAGAGCCTTGAGGTCAGCTGAAGAAGAGGCTGCAGGCCCTCCTCAGATGCTTCCTGAGCTTGCAGACAGACCTGGACATGTGTACAATCTGATGCATGTTCATAGCCATCTAGATCCCATGAATACATTGGAGCTTTTCAAAGCTCTGATGGACATCTTATTCCCCAAATTTTCCTTTTTAGCCTTTTTAGCTAGCCTGTTGTTGCTTGAACTGTTATTGAGCATCCTGGAAGCTGCAAAGTTAAATAATGGTTTTTAATTGAGTGCAACAATTGCCCCTAGATTTTTAGCACTGAGCAAGGCAGATCAAATAAAGACAGTCTTGCGAGTAGGGTCTTCCAGAAAATGACTAGTTTAAATAATGACAATTCTCTGGGAATGAGGCTTTTGAATGATGTCCAAGCCTGTTCTGCTCCCCTCCAGTGGCTGCCAGAATTCTGAGTTTCACCATAACTACAGGGCTGTTGATTTTAAAGATTATCATGGAGCTAGAAAGTAGAGAATGGAAATAGAGGAAGTTAAATCATCACAAAACTGCTCTTCTTACCAAGAGTTAGCCGTGTTTCTTGAATAAATGTCCTCTGGATTGCTGCAAGTCTTTGGTCAGTTTCTAGAGTTCTGAAAAAGCTGATCTAGCAAATTTTGCCTATTTTCTCACTGCTGTTATAGAAGAGAGAATTTTTAGATGTCCTTACTCTTCCATTTTCACAGATGTCACCCCTTTAGGGATGTTTTGATAGATGGGTTTTTTCCTTCATTATGAGTCTTATTTTCCAGATGTTTTGCATGCCAATTAATTTTCTGTTGCATGTCAGCCATGAATTTTACCTGTTTGGTGACTAGATTATTTTTTATTCATATACATATATTTTGAGTTTTGTTCTGGGTTGCATTTATTTTGTTGGGAAGCAGTTTGACCCTCTCTTGCCTTGCACTTAAGATTTGTTAGGCAGACCAATATATTGTTTAATCTAGTGTTAACTATTCCTCTCTACTGTGACAAGAAGCTTTTGAGTACTCTACCTATTTCCTCATGTATTTAAGTTTTCCAGTCTAGCTGGAGGGAATAAGCAGTGTATTTGGTTCTGTGTGATTATTAGAAAAAGTAACTTCTAAGCTTCGCTTTGCTTGGTGTTCTCACAGGTATATTCAGTTCTGTGTGACCATTAGAAAAAGTAATGTCTAGGCCTTTTGCTTGGTGTCCTCACAGGTATATACACACGACTGGTCAGAACTCTGCTGTGTTCCTTTCATTGTGCTAAGACCTGGAAACCTTTTCAAAGCAATAGACTAGAATGATTTATAGTGTCACTTTGTTTCTCATCTGTCATGGATTACTATTCTTTATTGCCTAATGTTGAGTGTCTCAAAAGTCATTGCTTTATATTTTGTACAAATGTTTTGATTATTCAAAGACAGAAGGTAAATCTATTCCTTGTTACTCCACTTTTGCTAAAAGCAGAAGTCTATTTGCCTATATTTGGATTAGGGCTTTAATTTACAGGTAAATCACTTACCTATTTTAGTCAAATGTTGTTAGGCTTTATATTATCTATGAAGATACATGTATGCTAACCTATACATAGTTACCAGTGATTTAACGCTAATAAATACCTTTTATTTTCGGTAAGGACCCTCAATATGTTTTATTCCTCTAAAGCTGTGCCTATTGGGAGATGTAGTTTCATTCAATTACAATGGTAATGTAATGAAAACACACACACATATACACAGGTACTACAGATAGAAAATATAGCTTGAATCTAAGTTTATTCCATTTATTGGTACAACTCTGGGAAACTTGTCTAATGTCTGAAGCTTTATTTGCTCATCTGTAAATGAAGCAAATTAAATAGGATTGTTGTGGAGATGACACAGTATAATATATATTAGCCATCTGACAAGTATTAATCCCTGGCTAAAGTTAATGAAATTTTCTTCTCTTATAATTATGTATTTTTCAGTGTGCAAACAACTGTGGATTGAGTTACAGACAAAGGATTACATATTGCATCAGGGCCACATCCACCAAGAAATATAATCTCCATCGACTTTGGCCTGTAGTCTATCAAGAATGCCCTGTGAGGCCTTCCTCTCAGGTTTACAGATGCACTGAGAGCTGTTTGCATTTAGCCACTTGGAAAGTTGGAAAATGGAGCAAGGTCAGTGTATAATTTTTCAGAATTTTAGTACTTCTGGAAAAGACTTTCTAGGCATGGGAAGTCTGGTAATCTGTATGCATAGCTAGAGCTTCAGAGTTGCCTCAGACCCCTATTGTCTAAAAACAATTTTATCATTTATTTACATAAATAGCTTATCTTTTGATGCTGCTATAACCTGCTTAAAGCAGAGACCATAACTCTTTCTTATTTCTGTTCCTCAGGGAACTTAGCACAGTGGCTTGCACTCGTGTAAGTGCTTAAAAATATTTATCGGTCAAGTGAAGAAGTAAATAAATCTAACATGTTAGTAATAAAAGTTATTTATATCATATTATATTTCCAGTTTAATTGATAGAAAGCAAGTAAATATCACTTTGCAAACTTAGCATATAACTTAATGAGATAGTCTTAATTACCTTCACTGACTAATGTATTAAGTATTTATAATGTATTGTTGTTATAACTGCACAGAATGAATGAAAAGAAGCCAGTAACTGAGAAGTAATAGATTCAGGCTCATGCCTAAGGATTTTTCCCACCTGTGACTATCCAGCCCCAGGATAGTTTTGTATCTTCTGTAGTTCTAGCTACTATTGACTATCAGTTTGTTCCAGAAATACCTGGTCTAAGAAAAGGAGACTTGGATTTTCTGGCCTTATTATTCATAATATATTTTACCTTTAAATTTTACTCGTTCGCAGTGCTCAGTGACTTGTGGAATTGGGATAATGAAGAGACAAGTAAAATGCATTGCTGAAAATGGTTTGTCCAGTGACTTATGTTTAAACCATTTAAAACCAGGTGCTCAAAAGAAATGTTATGCCAATGACTGTAAGTAGTAGACTTCAAAAATCTTAGTACCTAAGGATTTCTAATGAGTTTCAGTTAAAATCTATATCTGTAATAGTTGCATATTCCACAAAACAAAGTATCAGATATTCAGAGTATAGCAATATTTCTATGATTAAGTTCATGCTATGTTTGTAATTTGTTCTGTGTTAAGTTGTGTTAATTTGTCTCTGAAGGTAAATCATTTACCACCTGCAAAGAAATTCAAATGAAAAACCACATTACAAAGGATGGTGACTATTACCTTAACATTATGGGAAGAATAATAAAGGTATTATTAAAACAGTTCCTATTTCATTTTAACATTGATCATTGACTTTGGAAAAAGTTTTTCTAGATGTTTACATTTTTTCTTTAGATTCACTGTGCAGACATGCACTTGGAGAGCCCTAAGGAATATTTAACACTGATCCAAGCTGAAGAAAATTTTTCTGAAGTGTATGGCTTTAGGTACGAGATGTATTTTTGTCTATCTGAGCATTTTCATGGTCCTCCAAGAGAATTGCAACTTCTAGCCTTCAAAGTGATGCTTGAATAGCTTACATGTGAGACAAGTAATTTAGGAACAAGTAGACATGTTAGAACCTAAGCCAGATGTTGTCAATGCCTGTTCAGAAATAAAAGCTTGAATATTAACATGTACTGTTAATATTGACTATTGACATGTACTTTTAATATTGATTATTAACAGACAGATTGACTAAGAATACTGTGGGTGAGAAGTGGGACATAAAGAAGGGAAGAATTCAATAACTATGTGCATTTTCATAAAATCAAATTATTTCCAGTAATGAAAGCTAGAATTGAAGCTGAATTATTTTTTTACAAACTCTCCTTAAATGTTTTATTGAGAATTTCATATGTTCACCTTTAGTGATTTTTACTTCTTTCTTGTTTAACTTGTTGACACTATAATATTGAAGAGTATGAATGTGTTTTACTTTTCCACTCCCAAAGTTTATCTACATTATGGTCTAGTAACTGCATCTAATACTAAAATATCCCAATGTTATTACAGACTAAAAAATCCATATCAATGTCCTTTTAATGGAAGTAGGAGGCAAGACTGTGAATGTGATAATGTACACCTAGCTGCTGGATACACTGTTTTCAGCAAAATAAGAATTGATCTCACTTCCATGCAAGTTAAAATAAGTGCTCAATCTATATTTTGAAATCAAAAAACCTCCATTTGCTTACGAATGTCTAACAATATGTTAGTATATGTCATAGCCAGGGTACAGAGAAGGACCCCCATTTTGCAAAAATTACTTAATTTATATATAACAAAAGTTGGCTGCATACTTCCTCTGCAATGACATTCACTATGGGGACTCTTATTTTTTGAGATGGAGTTTCGCTCTTATTTCTCAGGCTGAAGTGCAATGGCACAATCTGGACTCATTGCTACCTCCACCTCCTGGGGTCAAGTGATTCTCCTGACTCAGCCTCCTGAGTAGCAGAGATTACCTGCACATGCTACCATGCTGGGCTAATTTTTTTGTGTTTTCAGTAGAGACAGGGTTTCACCATGTCAGTCAGGCTGGTCTCGAACTTCTCACCTCAGGTTATCCACGTGCCTCAGCCTCACAAAGTGCTGGGATTACAGGTGTGGGCCACTACTCTCAGCTGGGGACTCTTAGTAAAAATATAATGACAATAATAAGATACTGTCCTTTCAAGGTAGAACCCCCTACCTTAAAATAGTCGGGTGCATTAAGGATAAGAAAGTTAATATCCTCAGTCAACTTGTGGAAGCTTTTTGCAGGGTTTAAACAAATCATTTACATTAGTGTCAAATGATAATTTATCAGATATTTTTCCATACATTATCTCATTTGACCTTTTTAACACTCTTAGTTAAGGCAGATATTATATCACAATGTTATAAGTAATATGGAAGTTAAGCAACTTGTTCCATTAATATGGTTAGTAACTGGCATTAGGGAAAATAAAATTCTACCCACAGCCCTTAGATTATAGATCATACTGCTTATCTGGGAAGTAATTTATAATACAATCAAGTCAAAACATATTTATAGAACTTAATATACACTAGGCAAATGAGACTGCTGTCCTGAAATTTACATATTGAGATGAAGAGGCAAAAAAGTGCATTACACTAGCAGACTCCATTTCAACACTAGTGCCTAGCATGGTGTATAAGTCATAGAAAGCAATAAAAAAAATTAAGACAATATGTGCATGAACACATAATATACAAATTATAGTCATAAAATTATGAACTACTATTGTTAATAATAATGATGGCTATGATTTACTGACCATCCACCATTTGCTACAGTGTGGTAGCATTGTATTACTATGGTTACAATAATAAACTCTGGAGTTAGACTGTCTGGGTATATTTCCTTATCTCTATTTATCAGCTGTGTGACTGAGCATATATCTTTAAGCCTCAGTTTCCTCATCTGTAAAATGAGAAACTAGAACTAACGTTTATTCTACATTTCTTCTTTCTTTCCTACTTTTTTGTTCTTTTTTGGCTAGGATTAAGAGTGATATTTATAATGTATTCAGTCATTGTTTTACATATAATACAAGCTTGTCCAATCCACAGCCTGTAGACTTCATGTGGCCCAGGGCGGCTTTGAATGTGGCCCAACACAAAATTTGTAAACTTTCTTAAAATATTTTGAAATTTTTTTGTGTTTTTTTTTTTTTTTTTTTTTAGCTCATAAGCTATTCTTAGTGTATTTTAATGTGTGGCCCAAGACGATTCTTCTTCTTCCAATGTGGCTCAGGGAAGCTAAAAGATTGGACATCCCTGATACAGTACATGCTCTACAAATATTGGTTATAATTTAATAATGTGTATTGATCAGGTAATTAGCACTCTAAGTTTCTAATAGACCCTCAGTAGCTTATTTAATGTTAATTAGACTGCTTTAAAAAAATTAATTTATCAAACAAAGCTGCCATTTTGTCAGGCATTGATCTGGGCCCTGAGCATGCAATGTCAAATATATAGTTTCAACTCTTCTCTTTCTCTTCCTCAAACTTGTATGGTAAAAATCCAGTCTTGCCTTGATTAAATCAAACTTTCTACCCATTCTGTACTTCCAGCATAAAACTGAATGTGGCAAATAATATGCAGCTCTTTTGACTGATATCACTTTAAACACATGAGTACTAAGTTTACACAGATCCATGGTGCTGCCAAGTAATCCTGTTCCTTTTCCCTAGTCCATTCTCTCTCCTACTTTTCTAAGTGTCTAACTTATGCCTTCTCCTCTAGCTTCAAATTTCAAAATTTTTAATATTCCGCTCTAACTCACTGCTGGTGATCTTGCTTCCTATTTCACTGAGAAAGTAAGAACACCAGAAGAGCGTTGCTCAGGTTCCTACTGCCACATCTACCAACCCACCTAAATCTTTACCTATCTTCTTTGCTTTCTCCTGTTTACTCTGGATGAACTCTTCATCCATCCATCCAAGGCTAATCCTGCTCTGCATCCTCTAAGCTGAGTGCCTTGTACCTACTCAAGAACATTATTTCAGCATATGTCCTGATCTCTCTTACATCCTCAATTCTGCTACTGGATCATTTAATTTCTGCATAGAGAAATATGTTCTTATTTCTTTCATCATAATTAACAACAAATCTTGACCTCTACCCTTCTGGCCACTGTCTAGTTTCTGTGTTCATTTATAGTAAAATTTCTTAAATGAGTTATCATTTACACTCTCCAATTTCTCTTTCCCCATGCAATACTCTAATCAGTCTCATATTCTTGTCACTTCCAGGAAACAGTCCTTATAAAAGACATCGATGACCTGTTTTCCTAAATGCAATGCTGAAGTCTTGTTTTCCATCTTACATGATTCATCAGCAGCATTTGGATTCCAGGACACCATCCTCTAAGGTTTTGCGCCTTTCTCTATCACCTCCTGTCTTTCTCACTGTCTCTCGACTTGGCTAGTTACCCTTCATCTTCTACAATACTGAATATTGAGGAGCTGTAGGATTCAGTTGTTCCTTTGGGAATCTCATTAGTTTTATTGATTTCAAGTACCATCTATTAAATTAGAGTCCCAAATGCACATTTCTAATGTGGACTGCTACCCTAACCTCCAAAATCCAACTGTCTACTCCATATATTCCTATGAATGTCGAATAGGCATGTCAAACTCAATGAATCCAAAACTGAATTTCTAATATTTCCTGCCAAACCTGCTCTTCAAAGAAAAATTTTTACCGCTGCAGAAAATGCAACCAATAATATTCTACTTAGTCTAGCTAAAACCTAGCAACATCCTTAACTTCTACCTTCCTTCCGCACCCACATGTACTTCATCATCAGCTTTGGTCAGGTGAATTTTCAATGTTCATGCTGCTATGGACAGAATTGTGCCTCCCAGAATTCATATGTTCAAGTCCTAATCCAAAACTGATGATATTTGGAGATAAAGTTTTAGGATATAATTTGGTTTAGATGAAGTCATATAGGTCAGTCTCTCATAATGGGATGAGTGCCAGACAAGAAGAAGAACAGACAGCAGGGGTATCATTGTGCCATGTGAAAACACAAAAGAAGGTAGCTGTTTGCAAGGAAGACAGCCTTCACCAGAATCCAACAATGCTGGCACCCTAATCTCAGATTTCCAGGCTCCAGAACTGTGAGAAATAAATTTTTGTTGGTTAAGTCACTCAGTTTCTGAGATTTTGTTATGGCAGCCTGAGCCCATCTAAGACATATACTAAATTTCACTTTCCCACTATCTTATTTGCTACTACACTGGCCCAAGTCTACATCATTTTTTCATCTGAATTATTGCTCATGACTGGTATTCCTGCTTCAGCATTTCACTACTCTCCCTTCTCTTAACCTAGATTCTTTTCTCAACAGATAAGCCAGAGTGATCCCCTAAAATGTAAGCTGTGTCATGTCTTGTACATTATCTTATTTGATCTTTTTAACAATCTTGAACTCTTCTCAGAGCTCTCTAAACATTTTCCATTTAACTCCAAGTAAAACTGAGAATTCTTTCACTGGTCAACAAAACTCAGCACGACCTTCCCACCTATATTCCCTCTCGGTTTCCTGCTTCCCTGAGCCCTCTCATCACTCCTACTGCAGACACAGTGGCCCTTTTGCTGTTTCCTGAACACACCAGGCATGCTCCCACCTTAAGGCCTTTGCATTTACTATTTCATCTGCCAGGAACATTTGTCTATAGCTGTCTGCGTGGTTTACCCCTTCACTTCTTTTGGGTCTCTTCTGAAATTCATCTTCTAAATAAACCCGTTGAGAATCACTCTCCACAACTAAATTCCCTTTCTCCCCATTCTATTCTCTGCTTTATTTTCTTTCCATAGCAAGTGTCACCCCTAATATACTATAATATTTGTTTTATAACTTTTCTGTTTCTGATAAAACTCAAGTTCCATCAGCCTCTGTTTCACCCACTGTTGTGTTCACAATATCTGTAATAGTGCCCAATCCAAAATAGATTGTAAATAATGATCCATTAAATTAAAAGTCCTTGCTTTTCTCAAGAGAGTCATAGAAACAGAGAGTTTGAACAATCTCAAGACGACTTTGAGTTAGCAAAAGTGGCGAAAAATAAGTTTCAGAAGGAGGGAAAAGCATGAACAAAAGCATAGACGGGAGAAGCATTTTGGTGATATCAGAGAAAAAACATAAATCAAATGTAGGTTGGGGAATGGTAGCTTATTAGAGAAGCTTGTGGGGAGCAGAGCATGAAGAACAGTGTATAGTAAACTATAAGACTGGATTTTAACTTGCAAGTCATAGGAGCCATCAGAATAAAGGCATGAGCAGGGGAAGGAATAGAGTTGGTTGGAGGCAGAATAAATTGTATCCACAAAAAATGATTAGGAAACTAATGTAGCAATTCATATAAAAAGGGATAAGTACTGAGAACATGGATCAGGATATCCATCTGAGAAATATTAAAGTAGATACTACAGGTTTTTCTGATAGAAGGGGTGTGAGAATAAGTGACATGGAATATTTAGAAAAGTTTCTAAAATAACTGGACAGATGGTAGTACAGTTTAGTGAAATGGAAAACAGAGCAGGGTAAATAAATTTGGAGGAAAAGATAATGTATTTAGCTATGAACATGTTAAATTACAGATATATGTGGGTCATCCAAACAATGATGCCCAATAGGGGTTTGATATATGTTCTGTAAGTCATCAGAGTCAGGTGGACTGGATATATATTTATGAGTCATCATTGTGTAATTGGCTGATGAAACTGGCTGTTGACTGACATGCTTTTGGAGATCATAAGATATGCTTCGAAAGTTGTGTCACTGCTCTGCCCCAGCCTAACTCACAAATGCCACAAATAAATAGTGGTGTGCAGATGAATGTTTGATAATCAGTTATCCAGGGAATAGAAAGTCTGATTTGTTGTGTTATATGTGGTGTATATATTCCCACCATGACCAATCAAAAGCTACCAGTATGACCTCATTGTACGTGGGGCTGGGAAGAGATACACACAGTTGACTCTCACTATTTGGTACAAGCTAGCCCATGGAAAGCTTTCTAGTTTTTGAAGCTGCTCTTGGAGATATGATAGATATAGCCAGAAATGCTAGCTTTGGGAATTGCCTCTGAAGGACTGCTATCATCCTGGAACAGGCAGTGATTTTGCAGTCTTGAAAGTGAAGAGATTTGGAATTACATAGTGGAGGTGACAGCCATTGGCTAGATGATTTGGTTGGGATGTTACTTGATTTCAACATGAATAAGTGATTGAAGCAGCTGACTTTAGGGTTCCTTCCAGCCTGTTTTAATACAGTGACTCTATTTTTGATATTTTATGTAGACTCTTCAGCACTATTACCAGTCCAGATATTTTGCTAACCTTGATAGCAAAAGTAAATTAAAAAAAAATAAAAAGAATAACATAATGCAATAAGATAAGAATAAAAGAAAATGGCATACTTTTTTTTGCTGAGTGATTTTGAATTACCTAAATGAATTTTTATTTATGCTGTCTATAAACACTCAAATTTATTGCTTTTTCACTTATGTTTACATAACTTTTTTTCTTCAGTGATTTGGCTCCTAATCCTACTTCATCTATTTCAGATATTCTATTACTTCAAATGTAATAATGCATTTATTTAGTTTTTAAATATTCTGTTTAATTACAAATGTGCTTGCCATTTGTTAGGGCAATTTATGATATGAACATTTTTGTATTAAAGAAAATTTATTCCTTGAGAGTCTATTCTATGTAATATACTAGAATTGTGGCATTTGTGCTTAAAATTTTAAAGTTAATTATATAAATATGTTTAAGAAAGTAATATGAAAACTGTTTGACAATAAAGATTGCATTATTGTCTCTATGCTAAAGAGTTTCATTTATTATTTTCTAGCTACGGATCTTCTTTTCTCAAAAACGGTATTTGGGAATGCAGTTCCATTTGCCACAGCGGGAGATTGCTACTGTGCTGTCAAATGCCCACAGGTATTTCATATTTCCTTGATCACTTTTCTTTCATTACGAAAAAAATATAACTTCTCTTTATGCATTTTTTATCAGAATATTGCAAGAAACATAAGTAAGTAGAAATGCAAAACTTCATATATGCACTTTGTTTCAAAAGTTATAGATACCCTTTGGAGGGAAAGCGTCGTTGCCAATTTTGGGTTTGTTTAAAAGTTGTAACAACAATTTTAAACAGATTCTATTTCTTCTTCCATTATATGTTATCAGTTTCTTCATCTTTCTGTTCAGTCCATGGAAATGAATACATATTTGTTAAAAGACAAAGGAACAGGTCACAAGCATGTGACTTTCATAGGCTTCTGCTGACATCAGTTCTATTAGATTCCTGGCTCTGTAACATCCCCCAAATGACAATCTATTATCAGTAAAATGTATATTGAATACATTTTTATATTTTTAGTCTTGTTTTTATCCTTTATTTCCAGAGTTCTCTTCACACACTCTTATGTCATTTCCATGATTTCCAATATAAAGCATGTTTCCTAGAAGAAAATTTACTCTCACATTTTTAACTAGAGATTTTACATAGATACTGAAAACAACATTTTTATGATAAGATGAAGAATTGTAAGCTAGATGAATATAGTACTTTTAGGTGACTCATTGCTAATTGAATACATGAATCAAATCTACTACTTAAGATAAATGGTAATTACTACCTTGATGTCATTTTGAAGATAAGTAGTTAATAGTTTGCTATAAGCCTCTCTTCTTAGACTGTTCCTTTTATAATTTTCATCATATGACATTGAAATTGTGTTTATATCAGGAAGAGAGGGTATTTTCTGTTAGAGAACTTAAAGGAGATCAAGAGACACTAGAACTACAGGCTAAAATGAGTAAGAATAAATCTATGCATCTTAACCTAGGTCCAGAAACTCAAACAGAATGTGGTAATTTTTTTTTTTTTTTTTTTTTTTTTTTGAGACGGAGTTTCGCTCTTGTTACCCAGGCTGGAGTGCAATGGCGCGATCTCGGCTCACCGCAACCTCCGCCTCCTGGGTTCAGGCAATTCTCCTGCCTCAGCCTCCTGAGTAGCTGGGATTACAGGAACGTGCAACCATGCCCAGCTAATTTTTTGTATTTTAAGTAGAGACGGGGTTTCACTATGTTGACCAGGATGGTCTCGATCTCTTGACCTCGTGATCCACCCGCCTCGGCCTCCCAAAGTGCTGGGATTACAGGCTTGAGCCACCGCACCCAGCCAGAATGTGGTAATGTTACATGAAAAAGACATAGGTGTTTCATTCACCCAGCACAAGTTCAGTATGACTCCTTTAGAACAGGGAGTGATTTACAAGCAACCTAATGTAATCGTAAGGTTCCAAAACCAAGTAGGAAGACTGAAGGATTTATTTTCATTTGACAATGGAACCTTATAATTATTTTACAAATTATCTCAGTAAAAGATAATTTTTAATCTATTTAGGAGCTTGGGTAACAAGAGCAAAACTCCGTCTCAAAGAAAAAAAAAAAAAACATTACCACATTCTGTTTGAGTTTCTGGACCTAGGTTAAGATGCATAGATTTATTCTTACTCATTTTAGCCTGTAGTTCTAGTGTCTCTTGATCTCCCTTAAGTTCTCTAACAGAAAATACCGTCTCTTCCTGATATAAACACAACTTCAATGTCATATGATGAAAATTATAAAAGGAACAGTCTAAGAAGAGAGGCTTATAGCAAACTATTAACTACTTATCTTCAAAATGACATCAAGGTAGTAATTACCATTTATCTTAAGTAGTAGATTTGATTCATGTATTCAATTAGCAATGACTCACTGTGTGTGTGTGTGTGTGTGTGTGTGTGTCTGTGTTTCTGTCTCCATTCCAGAGCAGCAAATCTTTTTTCCTCTGGTAGCATGTTACTTAGAACCATGGATGAAGCCCAGCACTCCTGAAAACACAATCCATGTATGGTTGAAGAAATTTTTCTTGATGATGAGTGGGAGGGTGGTGATTGAAACCAGCTCATTTCCCATTGACCACTGTGACCAGATCTCTCAGGTTAGAAGCAAAGTGAGAATTCGAACCAGGCACATTCATGTTGACATCAATCCAGTCAAGCTCTCGTTAAGCCATTGAAGTGTCACATTGGGCCTGGGGGAGGCGGTGCACCCTGTGGAATTACACGTCCGAAGATTTGGATTTGATTTCCAGCCCTCTGCCAGTCAGTCTGCCAGGCACTTTCATGTGACAAGCCTTAGGCGAGTCCCTTTCTGTCTCTGATTCCCGATTCCTTCACAGGGATTTATGTGGGCCTTAACGCCCACTGGGAAAAGATCCCTCTGCCAGCTCAGTGCCTGCTTTCTTGGTTTGACTTGTCAATCTGGACTTGAATACACCTTTGGTTTTGGATTGACTCTATTACCTCTCCTAGAAATTAACACACAAAACTGACAGCTGATTGACAAGATGAGAAGCAGTTTTCCAAAATTCAAATTGAACTTAATCCTTTCTTACTAAAAGAATGCTCAAATCAAGGGGACACAGCTCACTCGTTTTGACTTCATGAGCTATGGCAGGTAGAGACAACTTTTTGAAAATACACAGCTAAAACTGTCCGTGCTTTGAATGCTAGACATGTTTTTCAGAATACACAGCTAAAACGGTCCCCGCTTTAAGTGCTAAAGCGGGGACCGTTTTAGCTGTGTATTTTGAAAAAGTTGTGTGCTCTTCAAAGAGAAAGCTACTTTTGCTGTGTCTTTGGGTTCGAGGGGAAATGGGAGTCCTCTTCAGTCAGCAGGGACGACACCTGAGTCCTTTGCAGTCCTCTTGTCTGCCTCTGAGGGTGAAATGAGAGTGGTCCCTGTCATCATGAGCCATGTCTGAAAGAATTATTCACATTCCCTACGAGAATAGACGGGTGAAATAGCAAAAGGTGTGTCTTCCTTTGGAGCATGGACGGGTTCAAAGCCCACCTCATACCACTAAGTATTTTGCTGAACACGAGCAGTTGTGTGTGCGGCCTGTGTTTGGGTGATTTTTGTGTCATGTGTGTGTGTGTGTGTGTGTGTGTGTGTGTGTCTGTGTGTGTGTGTCTGTATTTCTGTCTCCATTCCTGAGCAGCAAATCTTTTTTCCTCTTTTAGCATGTTACTCACAACTGTGGATGAAGCCCAGCACTCCTGAAAACACAATCCATGTATGGTTGAAGGAAATTTTCTTGGTGATGAGTGAGAGGTTGGTGACTGAAACCAGCTCATTTCCCATTGACCACTGAGGTCACATCTCTCAGGTGAGAAGCAAAGTGAGAATTTGAACCAGGCACATTCTCCTTAGAGACAATGGGCCAAAGACAGGTCCGATGGAATCGAATGTCTTTTCATGTTGACATCCATCCCGTCAAGCCCTCGTTAAGCCATTGAAGTGTCACATTGGGCCTGGGGGAGGCGGTGCACCCTGTGAAATTACACGTCCGAAGATTTGGATTTGATTTCCAGCCCTCTGCCAGTCAGTCTGCCAGGCACTTTCATGTGACAAGCCTTAGGCGAGTCCCTTTCTGTCTCTGATTCCCGATTCCTTCACAGGGATTTATGTGGGCCTTAACGCCCACTGGGAAAAGATCCCTCTGCCAGCTCAGTGCCTGCTTTCTTGGTTTGACTTGTCAATCTGGACTTGAATACACCTTTGGTTTTGGATTGACTCTATTACCTCTCCTAGAAATTAACACACAAAACTGACAGCTGATTGACAAGATGAGAAGCAGTTTTCCAAAATTCAAATTGAACTTAATCCTTTCTTACTAAAAGAATGCTCAAATCAAGGGGACACAGCTCACTCGTTTTGACTTCATGAGCTATGGCAGGTAGAGACAACTTTTTGAAAATACACAGCTAAAACTGTCCGTGCTTTGAATGCTAGACATGTTTTTCAGAATACACAGCTAAAACGGTCCCCGCTTTAAGTGCTTTATTAGCTGTGTATTTTGAAAAAGTTGTGTGCTCTTCAAAGAGAAAGCTACTTTTGCTGTGTCTTTGGGTTCGAGGGGAAATGGGAGTCCTCTTCAGTCAGCAGGGACGACACCTGAGTCCTTTGCAGTCCTCTTGTCTGCCTCTGAGGGTGAAATGAGAGTGGTCCCTGTCATCATGAGCCATGTCTGAAAGAATTATTCACATTCCCTACGAGAATAGATGGGTGAAATAGCAAAAGGTGTGTCTTCCTTTGGATCATGGACGGGTTCAAAGCCCACCTCATACCACTAAGTATTTTGCTGAACACGAGCAGTTGTGTGTGCGGCCTGTGTTTGGGTGATTTTTGTGTCGTGTGTGTGTGTGTGTGTGTGTGTGTGTGTGTCTGTGTGTGTGTGTCTGTATTTCTGTCTCCATTCCTGAGCAGCAAATCTTTTTTCCTCTTTTAGCATGTTACTCACAACTCTGGATGAAGCCCAGCACTCCTGAAAACACAATCCATGTATGGTTGAAGGAAATTTTCTTGGTGATGAGTGAGAGGTTGGTGACTGAAACCAGCACATTTCCCATTGACCACTGAGATCACATCTCTCAGGTGAGAAGCAAAGTGAGAATTTGAACCCGGCACATTCTCCTTAGAGACAATGGGCCAAAGACAGGTCCGATGGAATCGAATGTCTTTTCATGTTGACATCCATCCCGTCAAGCCCTCGTTAAGCCATTGAAGTGTCACATTGGGCCTGGGGGAGGCGGTGCACCCTGTGAAATTACACGTCCGAAGATTTGGATTTGATTTCCAGCCCTCTGCCAGTCAGTCTGCCAGGCACTTTCATGTGACAAGCCTTAGGTGAGTCCCTTTCTGTCTCTGATTCCCGATTCCTTCACAGGGATTTATGTGGGCCTTAACGCCCACTGGGAAAAGATCCCTCTGCCAGCTCAGTGCCTGCTTTCTTGGTTTGACTTGTCAATCTGGACTTGAATACACCTTTGGTTTTGGATTGACCCTATAACCTCTCCTAGAAATTAACACACAAAACTGACAGCTGATTGACAAGATGAGAAGCAGTTTTCCAAAATTCAAATTGAACTTAATCCTTTCTTACTAAAAGAATGCTCAAATCAAGGGGACACAGCTCACTCGTTTTGACTTCATGAGCTATGGCAGGTAGAGAAAACTTTTTGAAAATACACAGCTAAAACTGTCCGTGCTTTGAATGCTAGACATGTTTTTCAGTTTTAAGTGCTTTAGCAGTTAAAGCGGGACCGTTTTAGCTGTGTATTTTGAAAAAGTTGTGTGCTCTTCAAAGAGAAAGCTACTTTTGCTGTGTCTTTGGGTTCGAGGGGAAATGGGAGTCCTCTTCAGTCAGCAGGGACGACACCTGAGTCCTTTGCAGTCCTCTTGTCTGCCTCTGAGGGTGAAATGAGAGTGGTCCCTGTCATCATGAGCCATGTCTGAAAGAATTATTCACATTCCCTACGAGAATAGACGGGTGAAATAGCAAAAGGTGTGTCTTCCTTTGGAACATGGACGGGTTCAAATCCCACCTCATACCACTAAGTATTTTGCTGAACACGAGCAGTTGTGTGTGCGGCCTGTGTTTGGGTGATTTTTGTGTCATGTGTGTGTGTGTGAGTGTGTGTGTGTGTGTGTGTGTGTGTGTCTGTGTGTGTGTGTCTGTATTTCTGTCTCCATTCCGGAGCAGCAAATCTTTTTTCCTCTTTTAGCATGTTACTCACAACTGTGGATGAAGCCCAGCACTCCATGAAAACACAATCCATGTATGGTTGAAGGAAATTTTCTTGGTGATGAGTGAGAGGTTGGTGACTGAAACCAGCTCATTTCTCATTGACCACTGAGGTCACATCTCTCAGGTGAGAAGCAAAGTGAGAATTTGAACCAGGCACATTCTCCTTAGAGACAATGGGCCAAAGACAGGTCCGATGGAATCGAATGTCTTTTCATGTTGACATCCATCCCGTCAAGCCCTCGTTAAGCCATTGAAGTGTCACATTGGGCCTGGGGGAGGCGGTGCACCCTGTGAAATTACACGTCCGAAGATTTGGATTTGATTTCCAGCCCTCTGCCAGTCAGTCTGCCAGGCACTTTCATGTGACAAGCCTTAGGCGAGTCCCTTTCTGTCTCTGATTCCCGATTCCTTCACAGGGATTTATGTGGGCCTTAACGCCCACTGGGAAAAGATCCCTCTGCCAGCTCAGTGCCTGCTTTCTTGGTTTGACTTGTCAATCTGGACTTGAATACACCTTTGGTTTTGGATTGACTCTATTACCTCTCCTAGAAATTAACACACAAAACTGACAGCTGATTGACAAGATGAGAAGCAGTTTTCCAAAATTCAAATTGAACTTAATCCTTTCTTACTAAAAGAATGCTCAAATCAAGGGGACACAGCTCACTCGTTTTGACTTCATGAGCTATGGCAGGTAGAGACAACTTTTTGAAAATACACAGCTAAAACTGTCCGTGCTTTGAATGCTAGACATGTTTTTCAGAATACACAGCTAAAACGGTCCCCGCTTTAAGTGCTTTATTAGCTGTGTATTTTGAAAAAGTTGTGTGCTCTTCAAAGAGAAAGCTACTTTTGCTGTGTCTTTGGGTTCGAGGGGAAATGGGAGTCCTCTTCAGTCAGCAGGGACGACACCTGAGTCCTTTGCAGTCCTCTTGTCTGCCTCTGAGGGTGAAATGAGAGTGGTCCCTGTCATCATGAGCCATGTCTGAAAGAATTATTCACATTCCCTACGAGAATAGATGGGTGAAATAGCAAAAGGTGTGTCTTCCTTTGGATCATGGACGGGTTCAAAGCCCACCTCATACCACTAAGTATTTTGCTGAACACGAGCAGTTGTGTGTGCGGCCTGTGTTTGGGTGATTTTTGTGTCGTGTGTGTGTGTGTGTGTGTGTGTGTGTGTGTCTGTGTGTGTGTGTCTGTATTTCTGTCTCCATTCCTGAGCAGCAAATCTTTTTTCCTCTTTTAGCATGTTACTCACAACTGTGGATGAAGCCCAGCACTCCTGAAAACACAATCCATGTATGGTTGAAGGAAATTTTCTTGGTGATGAGTGAGAGGTTGGTGACTGAAACCAGCATCATTTCCCATTGACCACTGAGATCACATCTCTCAGGTGAGAAGCAAAGTGAGAATTTGAACCAGGCACATTCTCCTTAGAGACAATGGGCCAAAGACAGGTCCGATGGAATCGAATGTCTTTTCATGTTGACATCCATCCCGTCAAGCCCTCGTTAAGCCATTGAAGTGTCACATTGGGCCTGGGGGAGGCGGTGCACCCTGTGAAATTACACGTCCGAAGATTTGGATTTGATTTCCAGCCCTCTGCCAGTCAGTCTGCCAGGCACTTTCATGTGACAAGCCTTAGGCTGAGTCCCTTTCTGTCTCTGATTCCCGATTCCTTCACAGGGATTTATGTGGGCCTTAACGCCCACTGGGAAAAGATCCCTCTGCCAGCTCAGTGCCTGCTTTCTTGGTTTGACTTGTCAATCTGGACTTGAATACACCTTTGGTTTTGGATTGACTCTATTACCTCTCCTAGAAATTAACACACAAAACTGACAGCTGATTGACAAGATGAGAAGCAGTTTTCCAAAATTCAAATTGAACTTAATCCTTTCTTACTAAAAGAATGCTCAAATCAAGGGGACACAGCTCACTCGTTTTGACTTCATGAGCTATGGCAGGTAGAGACAACTTTTTGAAAATACACAGCTAAAACTGTCCGTGCTTTGAATGCTAGACATGTTTTTCAGTTTTAAGTGCTTTAGCAGTTAAAGCGGGACCGTTTTAGCTGTGTATTTTGAAAAAGTTGTGTGCTCTTCAAAGAGAAAGCTACTTTTGCTGTGTCTTTGGGTTCGAGGG